AGATGTGGCTTGGTGGTTAAGCACCCCTTGGTTCAATCCCCAGTACCAAAAACAAAAAATAAATAATAAATTAATTAAATAAAAATTGATATCTGATTCAGTAATTAGAATACTTTTAGTTAGCCAGGGTGGCACACACCTTTAATTTCAGAGACTCAGGAGTCTGAGGCAAGAGGAACACAGGTTTAAGGCCAGTGAGGTTCTAAGCTACTTAGCAAGACCCTGTCTCAAAATAAAATATAAAAAGGCCTGAGTATTTAGCTCAGTGATATAGTAGTAAAAAAGAAAACTTTTAGGTATGTTTGCAACAATGTGAAATTTTTTTTGCAGTACTGCAGACTGAACCCTAGTGGGTGTTCTACCACTGAGTTATATCCCCAGTCTACCCTTTAAAATATTTTTCACTTCTGAGGCAGTCTCTCTAAATTTTCAAGGCTGGCCTTGAACTTGTGATCCTCCTGCCTCAGCCTCCAAAGCAGTCAGGAGTACAGGCATATGTACTCATATAAAATCAGGGAGGATTTTTGTGCTAAGGACTGAACCAAGGGCCCCACAAACACTAAGGACATACTCTACCACTGAGCTACACTCTCTAACCCCTATGAATCTATGCTTTCAATTGTAAATTTTATTTTTGGGAGTGGGGATTGAACCCAGGGGTGCTTTACTACTGACTTAAATCCTCAATACTTTTTATTTTTAAGACAGAATCTTGCTACATCACCCAGGATTGTCTCCAACTTGTGATCCTCTTGCCTTAGCAACCTGAGTTGCTGGAATGTAATTAAATGCACTACCCTACCAGCTCAACTGTAAATCTTATGAAATATAAATACAAATCAAGTCATTCCTAATAAAAAAATAAGTTTGAATTGAGATGTTCTATAAATGTAAAATAGAAAATTGTAAAAATTTTTAAAAAGTAATATAAAATATCTTATTAGTAAATATGTATATTATTTAAAAATTAAAATAATATTTTAGGCATATTGGGTTAAGTAAGGTAGATTATTAAAATTAAGCTCACCTATTTCTTTTACCTTTTTAATGTGGCTAATAGAAAATTCAAAATTGTATATGTAGTTTGTTATTATCACAGCTGGTGCAAGGTAAATAAGAAGAAATACATTTCCATTTTAAAGTAAATATAATTAAAGACAAGAAGAAAACTCTTTTGACATTCAAAGGAGCAAACAGTATGATTATTATACAAATAAAATAGAGATGACACATATATAAAGATAACAGTGTAAATATTTGGAGTAGATATAGAGGTATGGCCATACTTCTGAATAGTATGCCATCTAGAAGACATAAAAACTTACCTTATTTATTTCATTTACAATAAATCCTTCTGAGGCTGTAACCTCTGGGATACCATCTAGGCCAATTCCTTGAGAAGTTAGGCTGCCATACAAAGATGGTTTCCCTACGTGGGGAAAAAAAAATTAAAAGTTTGTCTCAAAAAATTATAAGAACTTATTATTTCTCTCCTTACAGACCCAATTCAAGCATCTGTATAGATGGAACCTATAATGAAATTGGCCCATGAAAGAAAAACAGATACCTGTGTTGAAATTCAGGTGAGGTAGAAAGAGTAAACCTAATTTGGGAGTGAATACACTAAAAGATTTAAAAGTTAGGAATGGAGATTTAGAGATATAACATTTATAGAAAAAAACTGCTGAAATGATCTCAACCTGCTTTTATGGCTATGAAATGGAATTCTTCCAGGATGAAAGGTGAAGATCATCATATATATGTGTATTTACCAACAGTATATACATTATATAACACATCGTAAATAATTAAGCTTCAGTATTCTAGAAAATATGCCTAAATAGAATTTTTGCAGTCATATGAACTGAATGAAATACTGTCCTAAATATAAACATATGCAGATACTAGAATGAAGCTAAACACTTTGTCCATTCTTCTGGACTTTGTATATTCAAATCAAAGCCCATATAACAATTACATGTCTAACTTCCTGGCTAGAGTTAGACATGTAATTCAATCTTTTTCCTTTTCTTCAAAGATATTGGTTATTCAGTTAATCCTTCTTTCCTTTACCTTCAAACTACATTTTATTTATTATTATTTAGGTACTGGGGATTGAACCAGAACCACTTTACCCCTGAGCTACATTCCCAGTCTTTATATTTTACTTATAGACAGGGTCTAACTAAGTTGTTTAGAGCCTTGCCAAGTTACTGAGGCTAGCCTCAAACTTGCCATCCTCCTAACTCAATCTGGGATTACAGGCATGTGCCACCATATCTAGCTTCAAACAGTATTTTAAAAATTGCTCTTTCTTCAATTATTTTCCATCTTTAAAAAACAAAAGCTCTAGACTATGAGATTTTTAGCTTCATCCATACAGCACCAATTTCCTCAAGAAAGATTCTATGTTTAAAATATTTTCTCAGCTTGATGCAGTGGCACATGCCTGTAATCCCAATTATTTAGGAAGCTAAGGAAGTGGATCAAAAGTTCAAGGTCAACCTCATCAATTTATCGAGGCCTTGAGGGTTGGGAATATGGTTTAATGGTAGAGTGCTCCTAAGTTCAATACACAGTACCATCAAAAAAATTAGATAAAAAAACTGTAGAATATATCACATAAAGGCTAATGGGCTAATTAAAATGCACCAGCACAGGTGCAGTGGTACCTGTAATCTCAGATACTTGGGAGGCTGAGGCAGAAGGATCAAAAGTTGGAGAACAATGTGGGCAACTTAGTGAGACCCTGTATAAAAAAGAAAAAGTGCTACACACACAGCTCAGTGATAGAGCACCACTGAGTTTAACCACCAGTATGGCAAAAAAAAAAAAAAAAAAAGGTTGGAGAAGTAGCGTGGTGGTAGACCACCTGCCTAGTGTATGAGAGGCCCTGATTTCAATTCCCAGTATCTCATTCATATATGCTCTCTCTTTCTCTCTCTCACACACACAAAAGCATTAATAATATCTCCATAAACATCTGTGGCTTACAAATGGAAAACACAATCTGAAGCCCTTCTAGAATAGAGGAGTGGGAATTATTTCAGTAAAATACAAACTACACAAGCATGTTTGTAAACTATAAGCATTGTGCCAGAAGGTTGAGCCAGCAGAAAATAGGCAGCTTGGTACCAGGGGTACTAAATCTTTCTTTCAAAAGAGAACAAATAGATTTATAGACATTACCTGGAGGGTGACAGCTCAGCCAGGCCTCCCCTTCTTCTTTCCTATGAAGAGAGACAAAAGCCTAATTAGGCTCAAAGTTGAAAAGAATGACACTTGGGAGAAAGGTCATATAACCTTCAGTTTGTTCATTGTACCTAAACATGATCTAGTCTAATCTCCCATCCAGGCATACATTATTTTAAGACAGTCAAATTTTATTGTTAAAGAAATATTTGTGGATTAAGTATTTAATATTTAAGTATGAATAGATATCACTAGTTAAATCGATTCTCAAATACTTTGATCAACAAGGAGTTTGCTTTGAAAAAAATCAAGATTATTTATATTTAGGCATTTATTGAGATAACTATAAAACAAGAGTTAGACATTTTGCATATGGCATTATTATTCCTTACAAAACCCAAACAAGATACCTTTTATTATCCCCATATTAAATGCAAAAACTTGAGGGTCTGGGATAAGTGACTTGCCCCAAACCCCTAGCTATGAAGTAAGAATTGAAATCTGGAACTGGTACACAGTATGTGTTCTTTCTAAAACCTCATGCTGACTTTTTACATGTTTTAGAATGCATGACTCCAAATCCTCTAAATCCTGATCTCTTAGTTAAGATGGAAAGGACCTAGACTTTTAAGTCAGAAAGCTCCAGGTTGACAGCAGCCTTCTATCACATGAGCAGCTGCCTTTGATTCTGATCCTGCATTGTTTCATAGGTACCTTGTGGCACTTAATGGTACTGTTATTCATTTGTAACTTATCATATTTTGCACACTAATAAGTAATGTGTATTTTGGTTAGTCCCACCTACCAAAGTATAAATTTCTTAAGTGCAGGAGGCTGTGTTTCATCCATCTTCACCATTGTTTCAATGGTGATAACAGTTACTAATCAATTTGTAATAGCAACTGTCATTTATGGCATTGCTGTATTCATCCTGATACCTAGAGAAATAATTGGCACAGTACATGATCAACAAATATACATTAAATGAGTGAATGAATGATTTACTGCGTAGTTCCAATTAAATGTCACCTTCTTGAAGGGCAGAAACTATCACTTAAATTTAGAATACACATCTGAGCTCCACTGAGCTTTAGGACAGGGCCTGGACTTGGCATGGTTTTCTGAACAATACTGTGCAATACATCTAATAGGGCACTGGGGGCGCACGAAAATAGAGTCCATAAAACACAAAAGTGGTAGTGAGTACTGGAACTTTTACAAATAACTGATGACCAAGAAATATTTTCAAAAAGACTACTTGGCCAAATGTCTTCCTGTCTCCCAGTTTGTCCACTCATTGATACTATTTCTTACGCAGGGATCACACAATGCGTAGGTATTCCCTTGGCCTCAGGACAACTGCAAAGAATGAAAAGCAATAACCATGCGGGTTTGGGACTTTTTTTCTGGACCTTGTGGCCTCCAGCTTCCTCAACAATTGAAGGTTAACCTCTGTGGATATCCAGGATCAGGCATGGCTCTCCTTGACGTTAAGGCAACATCCGTTACCCGCCTCCTCTGACCCTGATCCGGGCCTGGATTCACCTGAGGGCTTGGGCCCAGTCGCTCTGAATCCTCAAAGGCGCCGCCATCTTGACCCCGCCTCCACTAGCCCGCCTCTTCCGCCCCTTCCCGGAAGTGGAGCCCCCAAACAGGCAGTAGGAACGGAGGGCAGGAAATACACGGAGAAACCACCAATGAAAATGCATTATCTTGCCCTTCCGTCGGCGTGCTGCCATGAGGGGATGGTTCTTGTGGAGAGACGCAGAGGATCTCTAACTGCCTGAAGAACCTGCGCCGTCGCTCCATTTGGGTCCTCTCCTCCCACCTTTTCCGTGAGCACGACACCCCTAGTTCTTGCGCCGGGAGGCACTGCGGACAGAACGCGGGTGCACTCGGCTGCCGTGCACGCTTGCGTCCTCTCCTTAAAGTGGCAGAGGAGCTTAAGGTGACCTAACCTGGATTGCTCTGCTTTCCGATCCTTTCCGTACCTTCCTAGTTCAAGCCAACTTCCACTGTTTAGTTGCCAACTATCTCACCTGCCCTGAATTCTGAGCAGGGGTCGCCCTCATTTTATTCCACAGGAGACTGAAATCAGATGATGGAGGGGGGCGAGGATTTTAAGATAGCTTTTACAGAGTCCTATTGTAGCCCAAAGCACTTTTCATTCATTATGTTAATACTTAAATTCTGCGAGTTAAGCATTATTAATGAGTAATGAAATTATTGCACGGTAAGGCGTGGTGCTGGGATTTGAATTTGGATCTCTTTGTTTAGAATCCAAGGTGCTTTCCTTTCCACTGTTCTTGATTTCATTAATTTGCTCTTGGCCTTTGAAGAGCTCACAATGTCATAGGAAGCAGAAACATACATAGGAACTCTGAAATATTTAAACTTTTGTTCGCGTCAGTCTCCTTACAAATATTATCATCTGTTTTTCAAAAGAGGCTTCTAAGTGACTTGCACAAGAGCATCCAATGAAACAGTGACAACGCGAGGTTTCCAATCCATGTCTATTTCAAAGCCATTTCCTTTCTTCTCTTAAATTATACTGCCTTCAAAGCAAGTGAGTTTTGTGTAGAGATTAAATTCCTCTTGTGATTTCCCCATTGTTCTTAGGATAAAAGTCCTAACTCCTTAATATGGCCTGCAAAGCCTTTCTATGATGATGCTTAGTCATTTTACCAGTTTTCATTTCTGGTCTTGTTCTCATCTTCAGCCAGGTTTTTTCTTTGTGTGTTTTGTGGTGCTAGGGATCAAATCCTGGGGCCTCGCACATGTGAGCTGCACCCTCAGGCCCATCACTGAACTTTTGGTTCCTCTTATATGTTAAATTTTGTCTCTATCTTCCACTTGCCAGAAATATTCTTCCCATCTCTGGCCAACTCCCACTTATCCTTTCTCATTTTTTAAATCACTTCCTCCAGGAAGTCTTCTGTGCCTATTCTTGCCCTATATCTGGATTAAGTACCCCTCCACTGTGTTCCCAATCTTAGCTATCTATACACATGTTGAAACTGCTTACTTATCTACATTGTAAACAGGAACTATATCTTTTTTGGATACTCTAGCATAGTGACTGATACATGGTAGGTATGCAATAATCATCTTCTGGGGCTAAGAATGTAGCCCAGCTGTAAGAGCATTTGCTTAGCATGTTTGAAGTTCTGGATTCCATCCCCAGCAGCACCAAAAAAAAAAAAAAAATCTATTGAATGAATGAGACACAAGAGAGGCATTAAGAAATTCTAATGCTCTTTTACAGCTAGCTCATCATGACAAAATTTGTGAAAGGGTAATCATTTCTCTTCAAATGTTTCTTAAGTTCCTTACTTCTTTCTTTCTTTTTTTGGTACTGGAAAGTGCACTCAGGGGTACTTAACCACTGAGCCACATCCCCAGGTCTTTTTATTTTTTATTTGGAGACAGGACTTATCAAGTTGCTTAGGGCCTAAATTGCTGAAACTGGCTTTGAACTTGCAATATCCTGTCTTAGCCTCCTAGCCACTGGGATTACAGGTTTGCACCATTGCGCCCAGCTCTGCTACTTTCTTTTGACTGCTGTGAAGCAGATGATCTTGGGGACATATTCTGGGCAAACATACCTAACATTTGGGCATAGCTGACAAAGCATTTTCACTTACTCTATAGACTGAACTCTTGCCCTGGCATCTGAATGTTTTATTACATTCAAAGTGAACTCTTTCCATTCCTCCCATGTCAAAACCTATCCGTATTTGGGTATCATCCCAAGTGTTCAACTTGTTCTTCCTCAGGCATAGAATAAAGCCAAAGGAGACAATAATAACTAACGGTTAGTTCTTTTAAGGTAGGTCAGAGATGGCTTCTCCAAAAAGATGACATTTCACTTAATTCATATTCCATCAGCAGAATCTATTGAGCTTATTGAATGCTGTTTAAAGCACTCTCAAATATATAATGTTGTTCAATACGAACCATTTTCTAGGCCTGTTTTTTCTGCCAGGCTTACTGCTGGGGGCACCAAAGTAAATCAGGCTCAATATCTCTCCTCAGAGAGCTTAGTCTTCAGGCTGGGGTTGTGGCTCAGAGGTAGAGCGCTCACCTACCATGCATGAGGCACTGGGTTCAATCCTTAGCACCACATAAAATAAATAAAAAATATTGTGTCCACCTATAACTGAAAAATAAATATTTTTAAAAAGAGCTTAGTCTTCTAGGGGAGATAAATACATAAGCAAGTTCTAATAGTGCAGTTTAGTTGATGCTATTTGACACAGGGACCTTATTATAATCATATTTATACTCATACCTTGTCTCTGTTGATGTTCTAGACTTCAAGATGTCAACCTCAGTCCCTCAAGGCCATAACTGGGCCCGACAGGTGAAGAAGGAGGATGAAGAAGTAGATCCTCTGGACCAGCTCATCTCCCGCTCTGGCTGTGCTGCCTCCCACTTTGCAGTGCAGGAGTGCATGGCCCAGCATCAGGACTGGCGGCAGTGCCAGCCACAGGTGCAGGCCTTCAGGGATTGCATGAGTGAACAGCAGGCAAAGCGGCGGGAGGAGCTACAGAGAAGAAAAGAGCAAGTTAGCACCCACCGCTGAGATCCCAGACCACCTGTCCCCAGAGGATGGTCCTGCAGAAACCAGCACATAGATCATGGTGGGAGTATGGGCCAGGAGGTGTCAAACTTGGAGATGGTCTTTTGGACTAGGATTGAGAGCCAGACACCATAAATTTGGATGTGACTACCATACTGAGCTGCCATGTTTAATGGTCAGATCTCACACATTCTCACCCTTCTTGTTCCACCAATATTTGCCATGTATAACAAGAAGTGGGGTAAAGGAAGCTCCCTTACCCCACCTCTTGCGTTAGTGTGCCAAATACTAAGATGATTATAGGGATGTTTTAATTTTAGAAGTAAATTCACAACCTGAAGTTAAATTGGTTACATAATTAGGTCTTCAATTTTTCAGTCATGGGTTAATTATATCAAGTATTTCTAAGGCACTGTGTTGGAATGTGATCTCTGCCTTCATGTTTCTTAGGGTCTAGTTTGAGAGATGGAAATAAAACAACACTGGACCAACTAATTTAGCTTCTAGCAGTGATGTGAGTGCCTCTGTCTTTTTATCACCTACTCTTGAGTGTTTTATTCTGTTTAATAAAGGAAGAAAGCAAACATGGAAACTTATTCAAAAAATATCGAGTACCTGTTACATGTTAGACTCTGTTGATTAACAGATGCAGAATTTTTCCCCAACTCAACCAATACAGAAAGCTGGCCTGACATTTTAAAAGTATGTTTAACATTAAAATACAGATTTTCAGTTTTTGAAAAATGGAGATGCTATTGTACACAGAGCTTGTATTTCTACTTGACAACAAATTGCTGGAGCTGAATATTACTGCCTCTTTTCAGGGGCTTGTGTTCTATTATAGAAGTTGCCATCACTTCTCATTCTTCAGTGAGACCAACCGCTATTCCTGAATAGCCCCTTGAGACATTTGGGAGTGAGAAGGTTAGGGGAGTGGCTCTAGCCATAGAAGCTAGAATGCTTTCATCATTATTAATAACAAATACTTTTTGAGCACCTACATTTTAAAAACCCAAACCTGAAGTATAGTAGGCCCTAAAATTTGAGCCTTTGTGTTGGTATTTTTAGGAAAGAAGGAAAGAAAGAGGAGAGGACATGAGGAGTTAGAGAAACAGTAGAATCTTATTTAAGGCCAAAGGGGATGATCAGGTGAATATATAAACGTGTTTCTTTGGGTCTGTGTGTACTCAATGCTGTGGATCATCAGAGGGAGGAAGCAGTGTGCTCTAGAGCTGTCACCAAGAATCTCAAAGAAGAGGAGGAAGTTAGTCAAGTTGAGCCTTTAATAGCTGGAGCCAGGCAAGGTGGTGCAGTTCTATGGCAAGTTTGAGGCTAGCCTCAGCAAATCAGCTAGGTTCTCAGCAACTTGGTAAAACTCTGTTTCAGAATAAAAAAGGGATGGGGGTTTAGTCTGGTAAAGCACCCCTGGGTTCAATCCCCATTACCAAAAACAAAACAAAAAAACATAGCTGGGTGTGGTGGCACACACCTAGTAATCTCAGGAGGCTGAGGCAGAAGAATCAAATGTCTAAGGCCAGCCAGGACAACTTAGTGAGACTTACCTCTAAATTTTAAAAAAATGGGGGATGTAGCCATGTGGTAAGAGCACTCCAAGTTCAATCCCCAGTAACAAAAGAATAAATAAATAAAAATTGTTACCATTTATTGAGTGATTATAACTAATATTTATTGAACATTTAATTTAGGCAATCCAGTTCCAGAGTCTGCTGTCAATCCCTTTTCACTATTTACTAGCTGTGTGACTGGACACTTTTTTTTTTTTTTTTTTTTTTTTAGTATTGGGGATAAAACTCTCCAGGGCATATACCACTGAGCTACATCATCAGCCTATTTATTTAAAGAGAGAGAGGGAGTTGGGAGTTCATAACCCGCTTGAATCAAACTGTGAAATATGATGTATTAAGAACTGTGTAAT